TCTTCTCTTCCTGCTAGGGTCACTATTTAACCAGTGGTTAAATGAAAAACAGAGTTGATTGGTATGGGAAATCTTGGCAATGGTGAGGACTATTTCTCCTTCTACAATCCTCATCAAATACGGGGCATACAACAAATTGCTTATCTCCAATCTGCAATTCTCCCTTCCACCCATCTGTAAATTTGAATTAATTAATAAACGCCCTTATGTTTTCAAGGTCATGGAAAATGAAAAGCATGCAGCAAAATGGATGCACTGACAGTGAAGGGTGTTTGTGGGTGGGTTTTTTTTATGTAAATGAAAAATCTGTGAGGCAGAAGCTCCTTCATCTGAGCCATGAGTGCTAAAGTTAGAAAACTTAAAAGGAAATCAAGGGAATGCAAATAAATTATGCTTTGAATAAATGTGACCCTCCCTAGAAGAAGTCTAAGGCTTTATGGAACAGTCTCAAAACACACGAGGCCAAAGACATCACTAAGTCAGGGGTCTTCATGCAAATTCAGTCACGCTGCTGCCTTTTGTTTATACCTGTGGACAAGCTCTGCTTCCATCGACACTGGCTGTTCACAAAAGAACTAGCACAGGGCTCTTCCACTTGTTGCACACCAGCCACACAGACCTCATGTAGATAGACTTTTTTGACATCTGTATCCACCTACCTATTTAAAGCTTCTGACTCAATTTGAAACACTCCAGCAAATCCCATGGCAGTGACCATTAAGCTATGCAAACCACAGAACTACATGGCTACTTTTTTTGTCACATGACTCAGTGTACGCATCAACATACACTGCTATATGAGCTTCCACAGCTTCCTTGTAAATCTCAAGCATCCTCACAAATAATATAATTTAGGGAGTAAGATGAAGAGGTCATTTAGGTATACAACACTTGACAAGTTACAATGTCACCATTAAATAAACAGAAACAATACATGAACTTAGGGAATCAATTTCTGGAGACACACTAAAACTGAGTAACTTCTGGAAAAAGGGATAATTGAAGACTTCACTGGAGAAAATGTTTTGTTTTGGAAAATGAGAAGGATCAGCTGCTTAAAATACTGGAAGACACTGAGCTGAAAGGACCCTTTAATTCTTGTGGTGCTTAAAGGGTGGATTCTCAATCCAATCTTAATCTTGATACGGCTATTAAAGAGAAAAGAGAGACTATGAAGTATAACTGCAAATTATAATTTGAGCCTGACGCCTAATACAAGTCATCAGACTTCACTCCTACCTTACAACAATACTTGAAGTATGTTCAGTCAGAAATGCACTGATTTGGTTTCTGGTTTTCACTTAAAAATGCAAAGCTCATTGCAAGGGGTAGATTTTAGCAAGGAAAAAAGTGAAACAGGATAAAACCAATGAGTAAAATTCAGTGACTGCAGTTCACAACAGCTGGGGAATGAGGTCTCCTAATAGGTGTGTTAACATCTGACATTCTTCAGGACAGCAGAGGCCATCATACCAGAGCCCAGAACACCACGTGGTCCTTGGGTTCAAGTTTTTTGTAAGAAAACTCTAAGTTCATCTCCCTCAATGCTGACATATGTTGACAGAACTGGATGAAGTTATTTTTGTGATGGGTACAGAACTGCTATGCAATAATCAAATACCCAGATGCTGTAACTACATTAGCACTGAGAGATCTGGGCAGTGAGGTTGCCGACTGTCAGATCACATTCAGATGAAAATAGGTACAACTAACTATGTGAAATGTTGATTAATGGAATGAACCTGTCAGTTACTGAGGAAGTCTCACAACTACTAAGAAAGCAACTAAAGCTTAAGATAATGCCGTTTATTATAAAAATCAAAGCAATAAATCAAGTATTCTGAATAGAACATTTTCACTAGACTGTTATTTATGCCACTGTGAGTAATCCCATTTATCCCTTTAACATAGCTGGGTAGAAGCAGATGGTAAGCTGTCAGTACCACAGGGAAACCTCCAGAATTTCTAAAATGTACCTTTTATTGCTTATTTTATCCATTTCATTCATCTGGTAGCCTCTATTTTGCTAATACATTATTTGTCCAATTTGTCTAAGTTATTCCAGTCCACCCTTTGCACTTGTGGCAAATCTACACTCACACTTGACAATGAAGTTATGGTAATATGATTTCATTGTTGCTGTTACCACCACTGTTATTATTAAAAATCAGTAATGAGTAGATGGCTCAGCAAAATGCCTAGTATCAAAATCAACTGTTATACATACCACTCTTTCTGCACAGATCTCTGCTTCTGGCAGAGTTTAACTTACTAACAGTACTATGTACTTTTGCAGTGAGAGAATTAACTTTTAGCACTGCAGTCTGTGAAGTCTCAAGCAAATACAAACCACACCACAATGATAAACCTGCGGCACTTACATGGGATTTCCTATCTGATCTCTGATGCAACACATTTTAATCTGTCAGGCTCACCTACCAGTCTCTTCCTTCTACATTCTGTAATTTAAAAAAATTGGCAAGCACTGTAGCCTTTTACAAAAAAACATTTTAACCATCTTCCTACATGTCTTCTCTCTGAATACAGAACTAATCATGCAATTCCCCAAAGAAATCAGAATCAGCAAGAGCTTGTGTATCAGTCTTAACACAATGCTCATTTCTCCTGGTTCAAACCTTACTTAACACACATGTAAAAGCATAATGTATTCATGTGCAAAACCTAAAAGCAAACTAGTAGACCCTAGTCAAGCAAAAACCTATGATCAAAAAAATTAAAGGGTGCTAGAATCATGCTTAAAGTTCAGCATCCAAAGTAAACATGGTGGTGATTGGTACATCTAGACGAGAGCAGCATGAGATACTGCCCAGTCGTGGCCGAGTTGCGCTGGCTGAGCTTCAGGTCTAAATAAACTGCAGTTACTATATACGCTACTGAGGTGTGAAGGAAAGAATTTGTATAGCCTTTTACACACTGTGACTGGCTTTATGTTACCCTAATAACTCCTTCTTTTCATGTGTGATTTCAATAATACAATATTATGAAAGGATTTGATGGGACTCTCTGATGCTCTTGGTTTACTTCTGTCTCTTTTGAAACCACATTTTGAAATTTTTGTTTTGGTAAAAGACTGAGCTTTTGTTTTCCTCCAGCAGAAGCCTATAGCACATCTGCCAGAAATCACTCTTGGAAACTAGGCACTAGAAGATGCTGCAAACAAACTGTTTTCCACAGAACTTCAGCTGAATTAGGGGAAAATAGATTCAATATATGTACTCATACTATCTTTCTCTGACAATAATATTTAGCTCCTTCTGTAGTTTCCAAGAAACTCCCAAGTCTACAGGCCAGTTCTGAATGTTTGACAAGCACAATTTGATAAATCCTTCTGGGGAAGCAGTGATTAGAGAAGGCAACTGGCAGCTAGGAGGCCCACACTGCATTCCCTGTTTCATTACTAATATTTCTGGATGACCTTGTCAAGTCATTTAATGCCTTTCTGCCTGTGTTTCCCTATCTGCAAAATGTTCAGATAAACACCCTCCTTTTGAAAACACTGTAAAATTTTTTGTTATGGAAATAGTTCCTTGGATGTTAATCTGGCTCTTGGGGTGTAACATCAGATGAAAAACACAATGGCCACATGACATAAATGTCAATCTAATATTTTCTAACAGATTAAGCCATCACAGTTTAAGTAATAGGTTAACCTTGTACCTGAAGGCTTTATTTCAGACCAGAAAGTAGTTACTCATTCCATTTTAATCTTCTTCATATCAGCCAAGCCAGCATCGTAAGTGCAAACCATAAAGGTAACCCCCACCCCCCAACTGGCATAAACTTCCTTGTTCTGCTTAATTTAAGAAGTATGACTATTTAGCCAAGCTTCATCTTGGTCAAGTATATGCTGCTGGCAGTAGGCAATGCTCAGAACTGGGATTAAAGCATAGTACCCTCAAGCATGCAGATGGTTTAACAGCGGCTATTGGTGACTGGCATCCCTAAGTCTGTTCAGGTCAGTAGACTCTCATGCACATCTTCCTGAATGGTAACAGGCTCTTCCATGCCCTCTCAATGACCTTGACTGGCTAATGCATGTTTTTATTCTTAATGGGCCAAGATATGTACTATAAATGGAATACCTAAGTGCAGTCTTATTATGAGTCATTTCACCATCACTCTTTTTCTAGAGAAAGTGTAGTGTTACATAATTCTAGGAGCAACCTAATAGCAGAGTGGAAGCAAAATGGGAAGGGAGACAAGGGCAATTTTATTAATCCACCTGTACAAACCTGGGCTGGCTAACATGCAACACACACTGAAAAGAGAGCTGCTTTTTAACACAGATCCCACCTCAGATACCACAAAAGCACTGTTTAAGTTCTGTGAAGCCAAGCACAGCACCTTGCACCAAGAAATGAAAAGGCAATTTAGAGTTTAGGACAGCTTTTTTACAGTGACTTCGACGTATTTCACCTGAGGAAGGACACATGCTGACATCGTGGCCGGCTTCCACAGGCATTTCACCTCGCGCAGCAACGGACCACGGCCGGCTACACCGTCGCCTCCTTCTCGCAGCGCAGCCCTAATGGCGCTCCCTCACCCCCCGCAAAATGGCGGCCGCGCGTGCCCCGGGGTCCGCCCTTCTCTCTCCCTTGGCACCGCCGGGCGGTCCAGCCCCATCGGTACACCCGGAGGCTGTTAGGAGAAGGGGGAGGCCAGTAGCCGCGCTCCCCTCGGAGAAGTAGCACCGTCGAAAGGGAAGGGGATGAGGACGGGACGGGACGAAGCACCCCTGAGGAGAGCGGAGTGACGGCACCGCAGCTCGTGCGACCGATCCCTAGAGAAAGACCACCGCCCGCCCCAGCGCGCTACCTCATTGGCTCTCGTTTCTCTGCCTCCAGCTGATTGGCGAACAATTCCCCCCCACGAGCTCTCTCTTCCCTCCTATTGGCTCCCGCTTCCCGCCCAACTCCTGCTCGCCAGCCGCCGGCGCGATGCTTCTCCCTTCTGTGTAGCGCCGTCCCCTCGGTGCAGGGATGGCGGTGGCTGGCGAAGGTCGCAGCTCCGAGCTGGGGCAGGCCTCTGTGCCGGGAGGCACTGGCGACACCTCCCTCCTCGGCAGCGCCACAACGTGGCCCCTGAAACGCTACGGCCGCTTCCTACCCCCGACGGACGGCGACGACGAAGGGCAAAACACCTCCTCTTGGAAGGTGACGGGCGAGGCGGGGGGGGGGTGCTGGCTGCTTGGTTTTGCTGTAACTGCCTCCATTGGGGTCTAGGAGGCAGCTGTGTAGCAAGCAGTAATAAGTGAGGCCTTTGCAGGTATCTTTTTGCAAGTCCAGAGCTAATGCAGAAATCGGGAGAGATTTTGCTTCATGAATTATTAACGTAACACATCAGTGATATGATAGTTTGTGGTCCGCTTTTTTTTATTCCTTCCTTCAGCAGTGACCTGTAGTATTAGGAACTATAGATCAAGTTGGAAGAGTCCAGGTAGTTGTTTAAAGTAGTTAAATCTGTATGAGACTTACAATTAGTAAAAAATTCTTAAATGTGCCTCTTGTCTGTGAGAGTGTAGGGCAAGTTGCATTACTGAGAGGTAAATTAGACACCTGACTTCTAGCACCAACTTTTGAAACCTTTTATTTTGCACTAGAAATGGAAAATGTAGGTTCTGTGCTTACAGGGCTAGATTTTTATTTTTTTTCTATCTTTTTAAAGGTTTTTGAGTCAAATGAAGAATCAGGCCATCTTATCCTTACCATTGTGGTATCTGGCCATTTCTTTATTTCCCAAGGGCGAACAGTACTGGTAAGTTTCTCAGGTATGAAGAACACTTTTCCTCTCATGTTAGCATCAGTAGTAACTTTGTTTCCCTTGTCAGCTTCATGTTCTCTCCTGCTGAAAGGAAGCTGCCAATTTTATTTTGCTCATGGAAATTCTCATGTGCCGCTTTCTCTCTCCATGTATCAGAATAATACTGAATGCATTATTTCATACTGAGGAACAGTGTTTCTTCTGTGGCTCTAAAAATCTAGATTAAGATGTAAGACTAAGTGCTGCTGATGTTGAAAGATACACTTTTTTTTTATGATTCTTCTGCCTAAGAAAACAGAGAAAATACTCTGTTAAGATTTGCGATATGATCCAGCTAGTTTCTTGCCAATGATGTGTTAATATTTTGGTTTTGATAATTTGGTTTATCGAAGGGTATGGTTTTTTCTATGTTGGGTAATGTGATCTAACATACAACTTGCATTCATGGAGAGAAAATACCAACTTCAAAGTTGTGTCAACTGATATTCTTGTAGCCTCTACTTACTTAAGCATGACTAGCTACTAAACTGTAAAGATTTCACAGTGACACTGAAGAGGTTAAAAGAAACACTCCATCTAGAAGGAGTTGGTTTGATACTCATGACAGAGAAGGCCTGTGCTGGAAAGTAGAATCAGGTCTGTTCAGTGCATATCACCAATACTCGGTGATGGTAACAAGTAGGAATTGGCTGATAAGTGTATTAGAAAGCTATTACAAACCACTGGAAGATGCTGCAGTATTAAGATAACTTAATAATAACTTTAAAAACTTTAATAATAACTTTAAAAAAAGATAAGACTTTTTTAAAAAAATACAGAATGTGTAAAAGAGTATGTTGTAGCTTTAAATATGTATAAGCTTATAAATTACTTTTTACTGTGCCTCTTAAAAGGTCTTAAACTTACGGAAATATCCTGTAAGTATTGGGGAGAACCAAGGATGCCCTTGAGTTTTTTTGGCCTGTGAGTGTGTTAAGAATATTGAATAGACAATGATAGAGCTAACAGAGAGCTGTCAGTCTGGATACCCCTCATATAAGACATGGTATTTGGCTCACATATTTAGTGAGAACAAGTTGAATGTTCTTCGACAAGGTAAAAATGGAACATGGCAAGTATTTTAGCAGTTGTGTTGAATAAGGGATGGAGTAATTGAAAGTCCAGATAGTTAAAAGAAACGCAACTGAAACGAGACTTGCTGCCACCTCTTGCCAAATTCTGCTTGGAATGAATCAGTGCAGAATGCACCTCTCCTGGGGCTGGTCCTGTTTTCAGTACCCTGATCAGACAGCTGTAACTGTTTAGTAACTAGTAGACTTACGTCACTCTGTAGAATGTCCTTGAAATAACCATATAAAGGCTAACTGAAAGTAAGTTTTAATAACTAACTAAAGAGCAAAGGCGGCACAGACAAAAGCTGTAGCCCTTCAAATACTGTGTCTGGCAAAGGCTGAATCTGGCAAGTAACAATGGGCAGATAAAAGTGTGCCGTCGTAAGTGATGAGTGCAGGAAGTATATAAAAAAAAGTTTATAAAAAGACTTGGCTGAGAAAAGCACTTTCTTGCAGCTCTTAGGTTTAGTGGCTAGTGAAGCTTTCAGTTAGCTGCCTTGCTTGAAGTGCCAGATGAGGAATTTCTGAGCTCTATCAGGTCTGTTTCAGCTTCTAAGAGACGCCAAGATACTGCAATAACAACCACAGCCTAAGAATAGTGGAGAATAGAGGTGGAACAGACATGCTTGGTAAATGTGACCAAAATATAATACCGAGAGTTGGAAAAAAAAAAAGTTGTTTTTGTGTTGTTTTTTTTAAAAGCATTTCTTTTGGCAATGCTTCTATACCAACCTTAAGGGCAACACTGACAAAATTTTATTAAGTGTTAGAGAAGTTATACAGAACTGGTGACATATGCATTTTAAAACCCGACTGTCAATTCCTTTGGGTGCATTTCTGTGAGCACATGTAATTGGGATCATGCTGCAGGTGTATTCTGTGCATACAGAACTAAACTAGTGTGAAATGCACTGGTACAATATGCCCTATACCTATTTATATTTCTCAAGGCAGTTGCAGTCTTGCCACCGTTCCTCTTAAACACACTTTTCTTGCTGAAAAACCTAGGAAAAAGCCAATCCACTAGTTCTGAAGCTGGGCAGGCATCTTCAGAACTATGTTAGGTTTCCTGTTTACAAGGGATTTGGTCCAGCACATCTGGCTTAGTTTTACTGCTTAGGCTTGTTCCTTAGGCATATGCCCTCTCAGAAACGTGTCCCTTTTCCCAACACTATGCAAGATGGATATGCAGTGATAAAATTCTTCTTCCTGGACAATCTAAATCTACAGGTGTCTTTTCAGTCTTTGAAGAACAGTCAGTGGAATCTCTTTAGTAAAGCAGCCAGTATCATCAAAGAGAAAGATGATGCACAGGGGTTGTGATGAAGACGACAGCACAGGCAGTGATGCTGTTGGCCAGTAGCCAATAACAGCTTACAATGCAGTAGATTCAAGCTAGCCAGAACTGCACAGGCCACTGCTGAAATTTTGCAAACTCCTTATTGAGATTGCAACAAAAAAGTTGCAATACTGTGCAGTCTATGTTATTGCTGTAGAAATAATCAGACTGTAGAAATGGTTAATCTCACTGGTTCTATCTCCCTCTAGTTTCCAGCTCTCAGGAGCTGTCAGAAACCTGTCACAATATTTAAACAGGCTTTGCACAACTAGGTACATACAGTTCTTTTGAATCTGTCACAGACCAAATCCTCTCACTGTGGGTCCATTATAATGGACATTTTGTCACAGAGGATAATGCACAAGTTTCTGCTCCAGAGGGAATGTATCAAGTTTGATAGAATTGTTGGAATTATTCAGCTCGTGGTTTTACTGTGTACACTCATTTCTATTTGCTGGCCTGGGCTACTGAATATTTCCTTTTTATTGCCAAGGTGTTCTCCGACATGTACGTGCTGCCTTACTCACTTGCATTGAAATTCCCTCTGATGCACTAAAACAGAACTGTTTCTTGCTATGTAGTAACTGTACCCTTTAAGTTGTTGATGTCTAGTCTTTTGATCTATATTCTAATCCCTACTTTTCAGACCTTTTGATGTACTACAAGCTCCTGGTTTTGAGGGAACTGGATAACAATTATTGTAGCTTTGTACCTTGTACCTCTGTGTAGGAACACAGTGATGTACAAGATCTGTGTCATGGGGACATCATTTCCTTCACAACTTGAATAACTATATTATATTTTTGTAAAATTTCCATGGATGAATAATAAAGGGATTTTTTTTCCCCTCTAACAATAATCCAAGAATGAACTGAACAGCTCATTAAATTCAAGAATACATTTGGTGGTGAATGTTCCTAACTATTTTTTTTTTTTTTTTTTTAACTGCAGCAGTAATGGTAGAGCAGGAACTCTTGCCCCACCCCAAGAATCTTAACATGGACCATCCTAAGTAAGAGTTTTAAAAAAAGAAAGTTTTCACCCAACATCTGTAACAAAGAAAACTTATTAATTGGATGCTTTTAAAATGGGCAATACGGTAGTATGATACATTCTTATCTCTTCTAGTTTAAAATTGGCAAGCAACATAGTAAAAACAGTGCATTAATAGATGCAAACTATCTTCGTTTGTACCTTCTGTTTTCTTTAGGACGATAAAAGTACACACCACTGAAAAACAGATGCTCTCTGACGTTTTACAAAAGTCAAAATGAACCTTTTTAGCTGCCAGCAAGCTCTGTGTTATGCTGATAATACTATGGATGGATGCTATTACAAAGTCAAGCAAAAAAAATCATCACATACTGAAAAGTGTGAACTTCCAGACTTCAGCTGTTTTGTATTTCACATAGAACTTTTCTTTGTTCATTCTTCTGCAGTAAACTGTGATGTTAACTGAACTAATGCTTTCCTGAACTCAGTGCTGATCAGCGTCATAGTTAGTTTTCCGCTAAACTAATCTCAGTTGCCCAACATGCTAGCGATAGCTCCCAGTGTTTGCTCTCTTGGTGAGCATGGGCCCTACAAATACCTTTTTTGGATGAAGACATATTTTGTTCTGTTGCTTAGTGATTCTTTCATCAAACTTCTTTCATGTCAAGTAATCGTTTATGAAATACTAAAGTACATAAACTATTTTCTGTAATGTACTCTCCTGTCAGTGCGAAAACAAGAGGAGATAGCTTTTATGTAAATTATTTACTTAGTGAATCCTCTTTGGTGTCTACCTTTCATCTACATACAACTTTCACTACAACTCCATTTGCACAAAATGGAGGTGGTGTAGAAATGGAAATCTTTATTTCATTGGCAGTTGGATTAACATGATCCATTTGTCCTGGTTTCAGCTGGGATAGAGTTAATTGTCTTCCTAGTAGCTGGTACAGTGCTATGTTTTGAGTTCACTATGAGAAGACTGTTGATAACACTGATGTTTTCAGTTGTTGCTAAGTAGTGTTTAGTCTAAAGTCAAGAATTTTTCAGCCTCTTGTGCCCAGCCAGCAAGAAAGCTGGAGGGGCACAAGAAGTTGGCACAGGACACAGCCAGGGCAGCTGACCCAAACTGGCCAACGGTGTATTCCATACCATGGGACGTCACATCTAGTATAGGAACTGGGAAGAGTGGGGGCAGGGGGATCGCCACTCAGGGACTAACTGGGCATCGATTGGTGGGTGGTGAGCAATTGCACTGTGCATCATTTGTATATTCCAATCCTTTTATCATTACTGCTGTCACTTTATTAGTGTTATCACTATCATTATTAGTTTCTTTTTTTTATATTTGATTAAACCGTTCTTATCTCAACCCACAAGTTTTACTTTTTTTTTTTTTTTTGCCCCCCAATTTTCTCCCCATCCCACTGCCGGGGAGGGGAGGGGGGGGAGTGAGTGAGCAGCTGCGTGGTGCTCAGTTGCTGGCTGTGGTTAAACCACACCACCATTCTAGGAAGAATATTCAAGTGTTCCTGACTTGATATCAAAGT